CACACATTTATTCTTTTTTTAAGTTTAGTTTTGTATTTTTATTTATTTATTTACTGATTTAAAACACTACCGAATTCTTTAAGGAGAAATTTCATATTATGCAATGAATGATTCATCTGCCATTTTCTTGCACGGCTCTGTTTTGTAACATCGTAGTGTTCCTACAGTGCTGTCTGCCTGGTACCCCCTGCATGCCCCTGACCCTTTGCTTTGCTCTTTTGGTGGACTCCTCAGCCACCAAAAGTATTTAAAATACATTTTTTTAAAACTAAGTGAAAAGATTCTTAATTTTAAAATGAGTCTGACATATATAGTTAATAACTAAAGTTATATATTCCTGAATGTATTTGGGGTAGACAGTAGTGAGAAAATAGTTTAGTGTGGTGAATTTTTGGCAAATACTCTGCTACTCTTAGTTTAAAGGATCAGATGGCTCCCATTTTGTGTTGTTTTTGTAATTTTGTGTAGGCAGTTGTGTGTTTGTTATGTGTTGTGCTTTATATGGTTAAAATGAATTAAAAAATAGTTGTATAATAAAGGATCAGATGGCCGTACATCTGATTTGATTCATACTGTAGTCAGTCTGTTGACTGTGAGCATAGTGTTTTGCGTAAAATCAGGTTTGTTGGTATATGCTAGGGGTGTGTGCTTTCCTTGGCTATCTGTGGCATTTCACAGTGGTAAAGGTCAGTAGCACCCGGCTGGATGTGGTGACTCAGATGTAGCGACTCAGATGTAGCTGTTTTATCAATATTCTGCCTGCTCTGTTGGCACACACATCCCTTACCCAAGTGTGGGCTCTGGACAGGATGCACAGACTGACACTAGCATCTGATTCTGATGCCATATAAAAAATATCATCAACTTATTTCTAAATAGCAACAAAGAATATACAAGCTATTATGTGCATGCAAAGGGTTCACAGTTTCAAAGTCTTGGGAGCCCACATGTCTGACAACATCACCTGGACTGTTAAACACCACAGCTATTGGTAACAAAGCACAGCAACATCTACACTTTGAGGCTGATGAGGTAACAAAGCACAGCAACATCTACACTTCAAGGCTGATGAGAAAAAAAAAACAAATGGGAAACTTCTGGTGGCTTTCTGCTGCTCAGTATCCTATCATATTGCATCACAGTGTGGTTTGCTGCCTCCACAACAGCACACAAAAAGGTTGTTCAAAGGGTAATAAACACAGCACAGAAAAAATCACAGGGTGTTCTCTTCCTTCTCTGGAAGATATTGCCATCACATGTTATTTATTCAGAGTGGAAAACATCATAAAAGACTCTTCCCACCTTGGCTATTACCTGTTTGACTTGTTGCCCTCAAATCACTCACTTTCATCATTTTTGTAGTAAATACACGTGGTACTCCCATGTGTTTTTGGTAAACTGGGACTAAAGGACCGGGCTAAGATTCGATTAGCTCTCTATTTAAATGTGTCTCATTTTTATTTTTAACTTGTTAAGACTTGTTGTCAAGTCTTGTGTGACTATTGTGTTATTTCACTTTTAATTGGGGTATTTATTTATTTAAATTGTGGGACTACTGTAGTGGCACTCAAATTTCATTGTATTTTGCATAATACATTAACAATAAAGGCTTTCTTCTTCTTATATGACTTAAAGTTACTTTTGTTCAACCAGCAAGTATCTTTTGACAGGAAATGACACAGGCTTCTCCCAAAAGAGAATAATACGATGTACAAGAGGCATCATTGTGGAACAAAATATTTCTCAGCTTTTATTTACATTTGAACAAAAAGTGGCATGTCCAAAATTATTCATACCCTTTGCAAACAGTCACAGTTTATAGGAAAATCCAAAGTTCTATACCATTCCAAATAGTCCAAGCTGTTCTAAAGCATCCTAATTACACTGATTCATTGGGAACAGCTGTTTTAATCAACTCAACAGGTGAAAAACAGAAGCTCTCTGTTGTTGGTTTGTGGACAGTCATGGTTAAGACAAAGGAGCTCACTGAGGACCTGCGGCTGCGCATTGTGATGGCTCATAAGTCAGGAAAGGGCTATAAGACCATATCTAAATGTCTTGAAGTTCCAGTGGTTACAGTGCAAAGTATTATTACAAAATACAAGATGTTCTACACTGTGAAAAATCTCAGAGGACGTGGTCGAAAGCCAAAAGTGACACCTGTGCTGGCCAGGAGGACAGTGAGAGAGGTAAAAAAAAGAATCCAAGGATCACCACCAAGGCCATCCTGATGAATCTGGGCTCTGCTGGTGGCAACATCTCAAGGCAGACAGTCCATCGGACACTGCACACCGCTGGGTTCCACGGACACAGACCAAGGAGGACGCCATTTCTCCAGATAAGGCACACAAAAGGCCGCATGGCCTTTGCAAATGCTCATCTGGACAAACAAGAAGACTTCTGATCTTCTGTTTTATGGTCAGATGAAACAAA